TATATATATATATATATATATATTTACACCTTTAGCTAAATTTTTTTTTTTTTTTGGTGTTTTTTTTTTTGCATTACGAGCTGAAAATATCGTTCTGAAAAATTGATTGTCACTTTCTGTTGGTTTCAGTGGCAGATCTCATCTGAAGTGCTAGATTTGCAAATAATATTGTGGAAAGAAAGTGGACGAAAATTTTATATTTGTGTAGTAATTCGCATTTTATTGTGTTTTTTTCTCACAATTTTTCCAAAAGTCAGCAGTCTACGGACGAAATCATCTCTTATACATTTGGATGTGGTGGAAAATAAACAGCTTAATTTGAATTGTATTATTTTGTTTGTCATTTGTTTGTTTGTTTGACTGTTTCTTGATATTTTCAGTTAAACTGATGTTGACTTAACTTTCATAATCATTTTTTCCTATTTATGTTTCCAATGATTTTGTCGTGACCTATTTTATATTCCACTGATCATTACTTTTGATTACTGATGATATAGAATAATAAATTTATGCCACCACTATTTAAAAATTGATGCTATGGTTGTGAAGTGATGAAAGAATGACAAGGTTTTCAAGAGAAGTTCCAATTTGACAAAGGTCTGTGCGTATAATGCAGCTATTGGTTACAACCATTCTAAAGCGCGATTTGTTTCGTCTAAGACTAAAGTTCTCGGGAACTGTTAATGTCGAGAACAGTTTGGTGTGTAGGGTGATGGCAGATGATTGCTTATTAGACTTAAAAGTACAGCTATATTGCTCCGGGATTGGCTATTTATGTTATTGGAAGTAATTGCTTTCCATTCCGATCCAATTATATTGTGGTGTCTTAAAAACAGAAGGTTTTATGTAGTCCATATTTTTTGATTGTTAAATTTATCTATTGTTATATTCAGAATTAAAACTATCAAGTAGAACTGTGATAGCTATCAGAAAAACAAAAAAAAAAACTTTACAAAACGCAAAATTCATCGAAACAAATTTCATAAAGTTCTGGAATTTCCTGAAATGATTTTATTATGATGGTTTTTCATCAGTCATTCCTGCGGTATGTTCTGATTTACTGAATAGATAGTACCACCAATATACAAGCTAAAATTAATAAAAATTTATATTTCTTATTTCTATAATGATTTTTAAATTTCTAAATGAATTTGTAAAGCTTAATATTGCTTGATTTTTTTTATTTATTGATTTTAGCTTAATGAAAAGGGAAAAATGACTAACGATGTCTCAATTCTTTTTTTCCAGAATAATTTATATAAGCAATAAGGTTGCTTACGAATAAGGCCTATATGTTATCCAACCGTATTAGTAAATTAATTGAAATTGCAAAAATTTAAAACTCACATTGAAAAGAGTGAATGCAAATGGGAAACATACAAGTGATAATTTAGTCAACTGTTTCCGGTCTAATATTAATTACCAATAGACTCCGTATACCGGAATATTGTTTGTAATTGACCTGATAAGTGAAGAAAAAAAAAATGACAAAATCAATTTTTTAGCATGACAAAAACTCTCATCGATTTATATTGCTTTATGAAATCAATCGGTATTTAATTACAATATACAATTCCAGTAATGCCTGTTTTTTTATTTTACAAAATTTACTCAAAATCAATAGTCACTGAGAATTTTCCATTGAAAATTTGCTACCAATTATCATTATTGGCTGATTAATTAATTAACTAAGTCACTAACCTCGTCAAGTGTAAGTAATTCTTCGGTGTTTTGTGAAGTGATAACATCAAAATTTCTAACCCCTGAAATATGAATACAGTGGGATAAATTTTGCATATGTAACGATGGTGACAATGATTTTCGAAATCGTCCTATTTTGCCTTTTTTTTTTTATTTTTCTTTTTTTTTTTNTTTTTTTT